AGACAGAGTCTCCCTCTATCACTCAGACTGGAGTGCAGTGGCGTGATCTCGGCTCTCTGCAACCTCTGCCTCTTGGGTTCCAGCAATTCTCTGTCCTTAGCTTCCCAAGTAGCTGGGATTACAGGCACCCACCACCACACCCGGCGAACTTTTGTATAGCCCATCTTGAATAAGCTTTTGGTGACAAGTGCACTAAGCTTAGCAAACGTTAAAATGAAGCACAGGCTGGCTGTGGTGGCTCATGCCTCTAATCCCAGCACTTTGGGAGGCCGAGGCGGGTGAATCAGTTGAGGTCAAGAGTATGAGACGAACCTGGCCAACATGGTGAAACCCTATCTCTACTAAAATTACAAAAAATTAGTTGGGTGTGGTGACACACACCTGTAATCCTGGCTACTCGGGAGGCTGAGGCAGGAGAATTGCTTGAACCCAGGAGGTGGAGGTTGCAGTGAGCTGAGATTGCCCTACTGCACTCTGGCCTGGGCGACAGAGCAAGACTCTGTATCAAAAATTTAAATAAATAAATAAATAAATAAAATGAAGCACAGAAAGAAGGGAATTTGACTGGGAGATTGGTGGTTAAGCTGACTTCAGTTAAACTTTTAACTTTGTGGCACACAGAGAAGGCAATACAATGGTTTCTAGGCACCGTATGGCAGGGTTGCCAAGGTAACAGCAAAATTTCTATTGCAGGAAAAGGATTTAAATATATAGGAAAGATCACTAGATTTGGAGTCAGTAGAACTAGATTAGGGCACTAACTCTGTTATCTATCAGACTTTTAGAAAGTCAGTCACAACCTTTCCAAGCCTCAGTTTCCTCATCTGTAAAATGTGAGGATCAATGTGATGAATTATGAACTCTATGAGCACTATAGACATATGAAACATTCACATTCCCTTATCTTTTGGTAAGCTTTACATCAATCCACGGCCCATAGCCCACATGTAGCCCAGGAAGGCTTTAAATGTGGCCCAACACAAATTCACACACTAAAGTTACCCTTCAGGTTGGTTTTCTATGGGACCCAGTGTTCCCATTTCCCCAACCTTGAAACTACCGACAGTCACCATCATGTAAGATATTAGATATAGTGGCATATAAATAAGAACCTGACTTTTTTTTTTTTTTTTTTTTTTTTTCTTGAAGGAGTTTCGCTCTGTCACTCAGGCTGAAGTGCAGTGGCCACAAATCGTCTGCTCA